AGAAGGAGAAGAGGTCAAAGAACACCGGAAAGTCATCAAAGACAGCCGGGAGCAGAGCAACCAAATCTGCAGCGAAGCCCAAGGAACCCCGGAATAAGGATGCCGCCAATGTCGAGCCGGCAACGTCCAGTGCGCTGGCACCGGATCGACCGACAACGATGACAGTGCACATGTCCGGGCTTGGCGACGTCACCTTCTCAGATCCATATGCGCATATCCCAACCGAGCAGCTGAGTCCAGAGAAGCAGCGGGAGCAGAACATACGTCGTAACCGGGCAATGGTGGCAATGATGGATTTGCGTGGAGCAGCGTCCACAGCAAATGCCCTGGAGGCAGGCAAGCGGCGTGCAGACGAGATGGACGGGACGGAGGGCACATCAGCAAAGCGCGCACGGATGGAGGCCAGCGGCGACACCGAGGATGGAGAGGTCGACGTGGAGATGCTGTCGGTGGGCCCGGAGTTGCAGGGAGTAGCTGCGGATCCCATGGTTAACATTGCACTTGCTACGGATCCCAAAGTTGACACTGCACCTGCTGCGGATCCCCAAGCCGACGCTGCATGCGATACAGATCTGGATCCCGATGCTGCACCTGCTGCAGATGCCGTGACCGCGGCCACACCCGCTGCGGATCCCATTGGTGAAGCGGCACCCATTCCCAATCCCGACACTGCACGTACTACAGATCCGGATCCCGACGATGCACCTGCTGCAGATACCGTGACCACAGCCCCACCCAAACCCGACACCGCACCTGCTGCGGATCCCAACGGTGATGCAACACCCATTCCCGATTCTGACACTGCGCGCGAGCCTGGCGGAGCTCTGGTAATGGTAACAATGCCAGAGGTCACACCCACAGCAGATCCCGCATCTGCGATCGCAGCTGTGACGCCATCAGGGGAATCTGCCCCGAAGAGCGCTCGCTCAACACCTGCATGTCCACCTAAAGCGGCCCAATGGTTTGCAGCAGGGCACGAGAATTTGACGGCGGTCGATTTGGGGCCACACTATGATGCGGTGATTGCAGCGTGGATTCGGATCGAGCGAGCATCGCGGTGGGAGTCATCGTCAACAAATCTCCCGAATGCTCGACGACCGAAGGAGATATCGACATGGATTGCCGGAAGACGTCGGAAGGTGCCCGTAATCACCGACGTGTCACGCTATGTGGAGTGCTGGAATGCCTGGTGGGACTCCCTCCAACCACAATGGCGGAAGCGGAGCGGGGACGCAAAGAGATGGGAAAGAACAACGGGATACGGTCCCACTGGACGTGGGTGGACACCGTCGGGCGAATATGGCGGAGATCAAGCTGTGTGGGGTAATCTTTTCCAGTGGGGCCCGAACGGTGTGATGACAGCCGTGGCATCCATCTATTTCTGGGGTATGCAGGTACAGAAGAGCGGAGCTGGCGAAGGGATGGAGGCTTGGGAGGAGGCTACTGTGGATGTAGGTTGGGTATTGGAAGGACTGGCGGGCTATTACGAGCTGTGGACAAAGAAGGGTAGACGCTCTTAGACTCGGACTCGTAATGGCAATGACACATACAAGTCATCTGATTCTGTAAAGTTGAGGTGATGGGCCCGGAAGCAGTGAGCGCCGTTGATGCGCCTGTGAAAAACGGCGGCGGGATCGGCGCAGGACGCACGGACCAGGGGCGGAGCAGGAGCCGCAACACACAGCCTGTAGTGACAAAATACCTCAGCGTGGATGTCGCCTGCGCGTGCGCGATGCCAGGAAGCGATCACGTGCAGAGCCGTGGGCGGAGGGCGGGACGGCGGGCAACCAGATTATATGCAGCAAAGGGCGGAGGCCAGGACAACGGGCAACCAGGTAATATGCAGCGAAGGGCGGAGGCCAGGACAGCGGGCAACCAGGTAATATGCAGCGGAGGCGGAGGGCGGGACGGCGGAGGGCGGGACGGCGGGCTACCAGATCATGTCGGGAGCAGGCGAGCGCGGATTCATATCACATCAGAATACGCGAGAGGCGGAGGGCGCTGTCATCAGCACTGTTGATGGCTGTCATCACTGGTGGCGATGGGTGATTTGTGATTGACTGACGTTGACGGGTGCCGAGGTGACGATGCCGGAGGTTGAGGCATCGCACAGCGGTCATTAAGGTGCCTAGCCATAGCCCATGGCTACCATCCATAAAATAGTCTACGGTTTTTATGGCTACAGCCATGCGCACTAGTCTAAATCCTAGTGCTATGGCTCGCAAGTGAGATCATCCAACTTGTGCTCGAAGTTGGTGGCGGAAAGCTTGCTGCCCAAATTGCAGAGGAGACCGCTTCTCAGTTTGTGTTCAACACCACTACTTTTGTTGTGCGCCAATTGGAAGGCTGGATCAACATTCATGAAGAGCCGCCGCACCAACCACTCCTGTATCACTGTTACCTCAAGCTAGGCACAGGCAAAAAACAGAATACCCTGGACTTTCATCGTCCTGCCAGGGCGCTTGTTTTTGTCCTTGTCATTCCTTACAAGGAATGGCAGCGCTTCCTCAATTTCCAGGAGGAGCAAATCGAACAGAGCGAGTCCAAAGGTAGTTCAATTAATCTACAGGTAAGTCCGTTTTCTCAGAGTACAAAGTCTGGTTGCTTATCCATTTCTTAGGCTGAATTTACTGAAGCCACAGAGCCTCTGGTCACTGAGCCTGCACAGTCCAAATCACGTATGCAGACTCGTTCGCAAAGGAAATCAAACTCAAGGACGACTCAGACAGCGGTGCATCAATTTGAACCATTCAGTATTTCACCATTACTGATCATGAGACAGCCTCGGTCATCCATTCGAACTCGATCCATGCAAGGATCTGTCTCTGATCAAACTCGGGATGTCCAGTATGAGCTCCACAATGCAGAGATCATCTCCCAAAACACCAATGACAACTCTGTAAGTGAATCATGGCCTGAAGGTACTCATACTGACTTATATTTCTACTTTACATTAGATTTCTGCTGATACTCCTTCAAAAAAGCGCTCTGCCGAATCTGACATCGAGGAATTTCAGCCCTTGGACAGGCAGAGATTGCGAAATGCTCTGAATGCTGGCGGTGCCTCTGTTACTGTCTCCAAGAGTGCTCGTGAGTTGATTATCTTGATTAACTGGTCACTGATGAACACATTTTTCAGCCATTCACACATCTGAAACAATTGAGTTCTTCCGGATTCGCCCCAGCGGTCTCCAGGATTTGCTCAGGGAAAATCGAGCATTCAAGATTGAGATGTCCGCAGCCGAGGGTGGTACTTTGGCTCTAAAGCCATCAGCATCTCCTCTCGGTGTTGGAACATTCAAATCTGCTCATTCTGCCTACCTGACACTCACCCGACTTTCGGATACCCCATTGGGTGCCTCCCCTGGTCAGCATGTTGCGCTTAAACGCATGTTCAGGACCAGAGAGACGTTGAAGCGATTTGACCCTGTGAACGAGTATGAACACACCATTTCCGAGGCTAATTTGCTCTTCTGGGGCACAGCCATCCTTCGTTTCACCATGGGTTGGATTCACAATTTCATTGGCAAGTACGGGGCGCCGCCCGATGACCTTCCCATATTCGACATTCGATTTGTAGAAGCTGGAATTGCCATGGTTCATGAAGCTGCGGCAGCTGGGAGCTCTAGCAAGACAATGAGTTCTCTTCGACGGACCTACCTTCTAGAAGAGCTCATTGGAACAGGTAAGGAGATTTTCACAGTTAAAGCCTCTGCCTTATACAGTTATTTTCAGGCAAATTTGTCAAATACATCAATAACAATAGTGCAACTGCGGTTGCATCTCTCAGCCCTGATAGGCGTTCTCTTGCAGAGTTCCTGTGCTTCACTCAACATGTTCAATATGAGCAAACGGATGGTCTTGTTTTTCTCTCTGACCTGCAAGGTGAGTATTCTGGATTGGATATATATTCACGGCTTAGTTCTAACCCACCTTTTACTAGGATCTGGTGCTCTGTTGACTGATCCGCAGATTATGACATCCCCGTAAGTCCTTGAATGACCCGGAACTCCAAACACTGATTGAATCTGCTTAGTTCCCTTGATGGTGGCCTCTTTGGTGGAGGAAACTACGGAAAATTCTTTGAGCAGTTCCCTGAGCAGCATGTCTGCTCTAGATACTGTGAGTTTTTCAAGTTATCTTCTCTCCAAGAAGATTAGCGAAAGTATTTGGGCAATGGGTATATTATTATGGAGGGAGACTCATTCTCCCCTGTAAACTCTATATATGTTGACAAGCATTGAAACGCCCTAAGTGATCAGTGGTGTGGCTGTGACGCATTAAGGTGCACAGCATTTGGTGGCTAAACGCTACGGGGTCTCTGATGTGCATCAATCAACTGTTGATCACTTCATCATGTCACCTGTGATAGATGTGCGCCGCGTATCAGCATGTAGTTTTCGACCTCCATAAACAAGAGCACTTTTGCGCACCAGCGCTTTGGCGTCGAATTGACGACCCGGAGAATTTGGAAGCAAACAAGGACCTACAAGGATCCATGGGATGGATAGGGGCACGTTCTTGGTTTCGCAAGGAGAGCTCGAGCCAACTGCTTTCCGACGCGCCCAAGACCGAGTTGGCAGGCGTTCGTCATTCTTTGAGGAAGGTGTGGGATAGTGTCCTGTCAGAGCGCCAGCACGGCGGTCGAATGAGATGGCAGCTGATGCCATCACATCACCGTCGGATCAACCATGACCAAATTTGGACATGCCACGCATCCTGAATTTGGTCCTCGTGATAAATTTACCGCCGTTTTCACGGCCGCTGAAGCCTTTTGACATTTTTCGCCGTCTACTTGAAACCACCATTTTCCGCGGATTTTCTAAATGCTCCCCACCCTGCCTAACGCGCAGCCTGATCCCCCGCCATGACCCAATGAGGCAATACACCTCCCGTTATCTCCTCGTGCTCAAAACTCATCCTGGGAGCACATGCGCCCTGTCAAGGGTCCATTTACCGAGTCCGACGCTTTGGCTTTGTGCGCACCTCTCGCACCCCGTGGAGTGGCTTTTCTTGCGGTGTGAAAGGGCTTGTGTCTATCAGACTCAATACTGAGCTGCTGGCGTCCGTTCGCAGTCCAGCCAGCGTGAACGTGAAAACGTAAAAACCGATGAAAAATTATCCAGCGTGTCTTTCTCACTGCACCGCTTTCTGTCTACCAGGATTCCAAATTCTCACACCGCCAGCCGCGCAGCACGTAATCCAGCCTCATCTCTATCTCGTCATCCATCAAGGTTCTGCTACTCAGCGGTGTCTGCGACAATGGATAACAGGCCTTTGTCCAGCGCTGCCAGGAAAAACACCTGCTTCTTCCTGTCATTTGCATGACTGGACCGTGACGAAATCGAGTGACCGTTCCACGCGTTCCTTTTCCATTATGGCTCGCTCGATGGCTTTGCACCGCGCGTCTGGCTTCTCATGCAAAGCGGTCCCCAGCTGAGGAGTATTTGAATGCTCGACGGGTATTGTTCGAGCTCACCTTCTTCCTTTCCGTCCTCAGCCACCATGTTCCCAGATATCTTCGACACTTCTCCCCGCCTGGTGCAGTCCATCTCGTCGGTGGCATCGTCTGCAGAAGAGACTAGCGCGAAGGCGGCTTGCGTAGCATATCTCCAGAGCGTGCCACTTCTGAGTGATCTGGAAGAGCTCTGCGCGCAAGCCAAATGTCGCGTTGCCACATCCTCCCACACAGTGCTGGAGGACAGTCGCGGCCGGCTGCTCCAGTTCTTCTTGGAAGGTGGCATGCGACTCGACCAGACAGCTTACTCCCTCGATATTTCCTTTCAATGGAGTGAGTGTTCTATTCAGCATTCTGCCCAGCGGTAATCATGGTTGCTCACCTGTTTAATTCTCAGCCGCGAGAACCCGCCCCTTTGAACAATATCTCATCGGGTCATTTGAAATTCCGACCTCCATCCTCACCGACGCGTCTTTTCGCGACACCCATCTGACTCCCGCGCTCATCCGCGACGCACTGGTCCTCTCCGTCACCCAGGATTGCATCTACCACCTCACTGTTTCGGTCCCGCCGCCGAAGGACAAGCTCACGAAGCTTTTCGGTGGCAAACCAATTCCCGTCGCCCAGCGCGTCACCGTCCTAAGCCGCAAGCGTGCGGGCAACGAGACCCCGCGTCAGAGCGACATTGAACGGATTGTTCTGTCCGCTGAAGTCAAATACTGTCGTGATTGCGGGGAGTGGAATCCGTTCGAGGTCGTGCGTGCGCAATGTGCCGGGCATAGCTATGGGGAAGGCGTTTACTCGGATTGAAAGACGTGAAATCGGACGAGTCCGTGCGCGCTTTGATATATCTGCCACCCTCCCTTGTACTTTTTTTGGACGCTAGCTCGCTTCGGATGCAATTGTACTTTTTGAGAACAAGGACTTTATGCACGCTCGGGAACTTTGAGTGAGGTGCTTTCTGGCGAGAAAAATAACCCTCCGCACGATCAAATGCAAAAAAAGTTTTCGGTCTTGATTATGAAATCCCAATTCTCATGACCAGACGAGAGGTGAACGATAGCTTCACCACTCGGAGAAATCAATTGTAGCGGTGACCAATATAGAATGATCCAACATACAAAGAATTGAATTTCGGATTGGTAGGAACAGAGACTTCATCGAGCAGGAGACGCAGCTTCGGAGAGCAAAAGCATCCTAATAATGATGGTCAGTGTCCCGGTTTGATCCCCAGATGGCTTGAGCAGGCACATCAGTGGCAGTGCAGATTGTTGCACTTCTTTGTTCGCCTCAAGCCAACAGCATTCTGAGCGAGCAACCGTCAGCAGAATATTTCACTAGTCTTTCATGCCGTGTGATCAGGATGATTTCCGGATGAATTAGAGCAGGAGAGGGCCAGAGTCGTCTCAGGCATTCGAAAGTCAGCGCTAAGTACTACCATTCCAGTCGGCACTCCGGCCGCGATGGAGACAGTACCAGGGAAACAGTCACCCGAGCGAGACCTCTCATTGCATGATTGTCGCGCAATGATGGTGTAGTGATGAGAAGGACTGCCGTGAGCCGCAGCGGAGCGACCCGTCAGAAAGACCGTCCCGAAACCGACCCATGCCAAGCCTGATAAGACGACCTGAGAGGACACGATGGCACGCTTTGACACAGTCGGAGGAGGTCTATTACATGGATAACAAGGTCTACTGCCTGTGAGATTGATGAATGGTCAGACGCATGACTGAGCACGGCCACGAGTTGAACGTGCTCAAACGGAGGACGACGCATAAACAATGTCATTACAGCCGACACTTGAATTATTTCTGCCCGTTCTCTGAATTTCCAGCCAAAATTCCGACTGACTATGCTTCCGAACTGGCCCATTCAACCAAAAACACCTTGCCTTGCAGCGCGTTTGCTGGTGTAGCGGTGCTCATCTCCTGGTTGTCTGCAATATCTCTCTTAAAGACACCTCTGGTTCTCAGCACAGCGGCATCACTAGGAGGTATCCGAGCGCAGACACAGAAGAGCAGAACACTGAGAGTGTCGGTAGACTTGATCATGACTCAAGGGCGCATCAGTCCGGTCAAGAGCATTGAAAATTAACGTACAATCCATAGTTTTCGCTTTGATCGAGCCAATATCCCGGATTTCGACTTCTACTTTGATCATTTCGTGCTTCTCGACCAGCTGCCATTCAGATCAGAGAGCTGCAGATAAGCTGGCGAGTTCAAGGTGCGCACCGGCGTTTCAGCAGACAAACGCGTCTTCAGATCGCTAAGAAGCGCTTGATCCTTAGCTCTGGCTTCGCCAAAGAGATTATTGAACTTTGAAGCCTGCTCAATGATCTAAACATTTAAGCTCAAGAATAAGTGCAAGGCAGATCGGCAAGAATTGTTTCGACCTTGTCCAGCGCGTGCACTTCTTGAATGTGTTCCACTGCCGCATTGATAGATGTCTGGACGGTTTTGGTGGAGGCAGACGAGTAATCGAACACCATTCCGGGTGTGAAATCAGACTCTGCTGCAGCTTTTAATGCGGTTTTTGTGCTTTGAATCACCCTGAAAATATCGTGGTACGTGGATTTTGGAGTTTGATGCGGTCATTAACTCACTTGCTAAATGCCTCCGAGCCACCGGACTTGGTACGCAGCCACTCCCAATGTCGAGCAAGACTCTGACATTCGGTGACAATGGCCAGCATTTCGTGATAATATGATCTCTGGACGTCTGAAAAACTCTCGAAAAGTCTTTTGTAGCCCTCAGGCAAGTTAGAAGGCGATTCTTTTATCTGAGATCAACGTTCAGGAGTTGTTCACGACGAATATGACGTCAAAACTAACCATATCGTTACATATCCTGCAGATCTGGCGGACTTCCGGGGGGATACTATTCTCCGCAGGAGCTTCACAGGCCGCATGAATCAAGATGGTTAAACTGAACCGATTAAGCTTCTGGGCCATCATGGAGAACTATACCGGCATACCGGAGAATCACAGTCCATGACGTCATTGGAACATTGGTTTGCTCCTTCATATCTTTTTGGTTGGCTTTTGCTGCATTCAAAAGCGTTTGAACAGTCAACGCGACTTTGATTGAACACATCATCACTGTCTGTGACATGATCAGCTAGAAATAAGCTTGCATGCTGTGAGCGACTCACGGAAAACACAGCTTGAGCCGCACGGAAAAGGGACAGTCGAAGTCCTTTCACCTTTGCGACAATCTTTTCCATGATCCCCCTTGTCGCACTGTCCCTGACGGGTATCGGCTCAAAACTCTGGGCCATCACGATTGTAATAAAGACTTGACAGTCATCATATCTCTGGATATACACCCAGTCATCGAATATTGGCAGTATCTGCTTGTCATGAGTAACCGTGTGGGGATGGGTCCACATAACGAACCTTGAATTCCCAAAGGTCCTTCAAGATTTGTTCGACTAGCGTTCGAAGCCGCTCGCGACTCGCTTCCCATTGTTCGAAATATAGATCCAGGGGGTGAGACGAGAGCGTCGCCTGTGACTCGGTGTGAGAAATCCTCTGCAGTGAGAGACAGAACCTGAGCAGCACGATAAGCCGAAAAAAGAAAAGAGTGGCCCGCACACCTACTTTTCAAGGATCGGGATAAGTCTTGTGTACCGCTGGAAATTCTCCCAAGTTGCTGCGCTAAGATCCTCCTTGCCTACGTTCTTGATCAATGCTTTGATCTCATCGAGGGCCAGCCGAGCGATTGTGATGGCAGTGTACGCTGAGTGAATATTCCGCGACATCAGCGACGCATCCTGAGCAATGATTTGAATAAGTTTCTCCAGAGGATTGGTCACAGCGTATTGCTCCGGATGCATCGACCTCGAAAATTCCTCGAACAGGGTCAGAGCTCTTGCTGGTTTCTTGGTGGGTGAAACGGTCGAGTCTATGAGTGAGTGCAATGAGATTTATACCCGGATAGAATGTCCACTGGGGGACTTATGCATGTGTCCGATCATCGATTGATGTGCGGGAACGGCGAATTGGCAAACTGCCAGGTGCATGCCACCGGATAGGCGCACAACGTAAACCTGATGTTGAGTGAATCGAAAGCCGACAAGCCAAAGTGTGCCAGAAAGTCAATAGCTTCTAGGGAGATAGGTTCTTCGTGATGGTTCAAGGATCAGTGGACGCGCCATCTGAGTTGAAGAGCGAGGTTACCGGGGCCAAACTAAGAAGATCCTTGGATACACATCAAGCGCCCAAGTCCATCCCTTAGTAATACTCGTAAAAATGAATTGCACTTAAACAGCTGCAAGAGGGGTTGAGCTTCTCCCGAGGTCGAGATGTTTTTGCTCAAGAAAGACGATAGTGAACAGCCACCCATCAACCACCATGTGTCACATCACGGAGTGATAATATCATGCACCTGGCTCGGGCATCAGTCTCGCCTCGACGGAAATGAAATCGCCCGCTGAGACATCTGTTAAATTTCTTCAGGGCCGGAACTTTTCCCGTAAGATGATACAGACCTGGGACTCTGGCTACCAAACCTTTACGGCGTAGCTAGAGCTAGATAAGATCCCTGGACGACTCAAATATATCCGTCACCGACCAGAATCCTGGCTCAGAGGCGTAGTCGCTTGACTGAACACGTTTAATCCATGAGAAGACCGGTCCGACAAGCATGCCCGATCTCAGATCCCATCTCGCTCACTTCAGGGTGCTGGTGCGCAGTCGATAAACTGGCGGTGCATGTGACAAGATCCGTGCACTCTCACGAACAACGTGGATCATACCTCGCACGTTGTCTCTTCGGCCGGCAAAGACATGACTTGGGTCGGGGTTTGTCATGTGAACGAACTGCTCTGAACGAGGCCCTAGTTAACCGCCCGTGCTAGACAGTGGGAACTTCCGACAAATTTGCATGCCTTACAAAACGTTGCCCGGTTTTTGAATATCTACGTTGTCTTCCACACGACTTTCTCGCTCGCCTCATCTGTTGCTGTCTATTGAGTATCCGACCCAGTTTCAGTTGGCATGCCCATTAAGGAGGCGACCGCGGAGGAATTCAAGGGTCTATGGCAGAAATTGACAAATCAAACCAAGAAGAAGGAACAGGGTTTGCACCGTGCTAGTGAAGTGATCCAATTTTTCGATTCTTTAGATGTCAATATGTCCGAGCATCTTTGGTGCGTAGCAAAAACGAATCAATGAGAAATCATTTGACGCACAGGTAGGGATGCATTTTTCCAGACAATGGATCGACTGGAAGAAATCGGTGTCCCGGATGATATTTCTGCGCCAAGCTTGCCACTGTTCATGGCCATCACAGAGGAGGACCCGACAAATGATCAGGTGTGTGACACTCCGAACAGGTAGGTAAATAGGACTCACGTTTGAAATCTCCGATCCAGTGCATCCAGTTTGAAACAAAATGGAAGAAGAGCCAGGAGAATGACCAGGCTTTGAATGCAGAAATGAAAAGGATTTTGAAACGCACGAACAGATCGACAAGTAGAGAGACAGAACACCCTGGCTACTACCCCCTGAGGCTGTCCACGATCCGAATCGATTGGAGTGGTAAGAAAAAGCAGATGGTGGTGGATAGAGAATGTACGCGCTCAAATCTAGGTTCTGAAGATATCCTCAGTGATTTCAGGGAAGTGCCGCACCGTGGAGGAGATCCTCTGGCTGACAAAACAATATTGCGAACGATTTTGGCCGAAGATTGCAAAGGACTTTTATCGCAGAAGACCATACTGTTACGGCCTTACAGAGTTTGATGATTTCGATCTCCGCGTATCCGTGGCGCTCTCACCAGTCGCAAAATTGGACAACCTGGTGGAATTCAAGAACTTGATGGTACTATTGGATAAATCTTGGGTGATCAGAGAAAGCAGCCCGACGACGAACGACGCTGTCTCGGATCAGAGGTGCTTCGGGAACATCTACGCAAAAGCCGATGGCACTTATCTCTTGAAAGGTATGCAACTTTTGCCCTGCTCGTGAAAATGTGGCTGAAAGCCGATCAGATTTCTCTGGAACAATCCTTGATGCGCGTGATTTGATTACCAAGTACGAGGGCAAACAGCTTACCATCCAGACCATCGGCTTGGAAGGGAAGGCAAAGCAAGAGGAGCGGACGCATGCGAAGGTCCCGAAAACCCTGTCTGATCTCTTGTATATATGGTCCAAGCAGGATCAGGAAGACAGTGGCCAGTACTGGTTCTCAGTCGAGTCGCCTGCCACCTCCATGCGCACAGCATCCACTCCTACCCTGGGTGCGGAAACTCCATCCGTTGAGGATGATCATGTGCGTCTTTGAACCGGCCCAATGTCAGGATGAATCAAATACTTCAAATTTAGGGTGTAGAAGTCGGGTCAACGACTCCGACGGACCAAAGGACTGCCATTTTCAAGATGCCAGTTCCATTCATTGAGGATGCGGACCCGATGTTTTTTTCCGGCGCAGCACCAGGAAGCTCGTATTCGATCACGAACAAGGCGAAAAGCGAGCCCAGCTCATATGCGACATCGAGGTGGCTGGCGGAATCAGCAGGAAGGGAAAAACAGGCTGTGAAGGACAGAGCGCGAATTGGAGGCGCCCCAGGCTCACTACTTTCCCACGCCAGTACAGAAATAGGACATCTAAAGGACGCTTCCAAGCAACTCGCAGAGGACACAGGCATTTCCGAACCGTCCCCAGCATTAGGGCACGCGCAGTCGAGAGCGGCGAGTGGTTTTGGATCTTCAAACAATACATCACCTCCAGTCGAACCATCACACGCCTCAGGAAGCGAAGAGGTCCTCCCTATTCGATATCCCGAGGCCGACGTAGAAAGAGGGGCAAACGTCGTTGACTCGAACATGACCGAGAACCCAATCACGCCGCCGGAGCCTGCCCCTGCTGTCCGAGAGGGATGGATTTCGTGGTTGAAAAGGAAGGCCTTTGGAGGGCGCTGATGGGGGAATCGGTTCAGCGATGTTATGAGCGTGTAATCAGCCGTCTTGTTTTGAACCGGACACATAATCACAACGCAACACCTGCGTCGTTTCTCAAGTTGAATGAGAACTGGCTATTAGACATGAATGTAAATGACAGGATCTCCATAGTATCCACTCATAAGAGTCCTTGTTTATGTTTGAGATGAAAGGCTAGAAATTACAACAGGATCCAAGAGTGTCGCAGAAACGAAGCGAACGAAACAGTGGGTAATGTGGTCGACTAGCGAATATTGATTTCATTTCGAGGGATCGCGATGTATCAATCCGATTTCCCCCCGATGACAGTTGAGAGAAAGAGAGATAGCCCAGCTGTGGAACAAATGCAAGTGAGTACAATGGAAACCGCTGTCAGCCCCTCGATAATCCACACAAGGAATATAAGCTGCGCAAGCATGAATACAATGCCGAGTAGGAGGTAGATCACCCCTGCACACGACTCGAGTCAATGACAGTACGATCACAGTAGCCAGCCCTCACATTGAGCAAAGACGATCGGGAAGTTTTGCGGAGCACCGTACCTCCTAAGCAGTTGAACTGGGCGAGTGGAGGCTGGGAGAATCCCCAGCGTCGGGGGCTGTCGACAAGAAGAATTGAGGGTGAGATCCCCAATGAAATCGACGATGCATAGCGAGGCAACGGAGCCGAACACATTGAGCATCATTGCGGCGTACGAGGTGATCCGAAACCACAAGAGGACGCGGGAGGATTCGGTGGTGGGCACTCGGCCGCTACATGTTGCGGCGGCGAAGAGCACACCTGACAGGAGCGTAAAGAATGCGGACTGCATCTCATCAACACGCGGTCACAGAGAGACTAGGGTACACACCAACATCGTGGATGTTTGTGCAGTCGATCTGAATGCCTCGCTCTGCTCTTTTACCACGGTCGGGGGTTTCCCTGAGTAAAATGCATCAATCATTAGGTCTATCGATTCTCTGAGGACCCACAGTCTAGATGTATGTCTCTCGCAGGCATCACTTGAGTGCTGTTCAGTATTTTGAATGCAGGGTGTGGATGGCCAGGGGATGATGATCTTGCAGTCCGTCTCGGAGGGGGGACGTTCATGGTGCTCCAGGCTCTTTATCTATCAGATGCCAATCAAAATCCTGTGTCCTGAATCAAGTTCTGGGTAGAGATGGTCGATTTACTGAAAAGGATGGGGGTACGTGCTCACCAGGCAACATTTGCTATATATCCCGAACACCACTTCCAGTTAAAGAAGCCGCAAACGTGCCGTGAAGCGCATTAAAAGGCAATACGTAACTCTACAGCACGTCTAGCAACGGCTGGAGTCATATTGGGCACACCGCCAAACATTCCCGAGGCAATGTCCCCTGGATCTGTGCTCGGTTCGAGCGATCACACACATGTACAATCATCTAAACGAATGCACTTTGTAACGAGCTTATCTGTGATCAAATTATCTGAAACCAAAACTGAGTTCCCGAGAATGCCGAGCCCAAACTAGAGCGTCCAAGATGAGCCGCATGTTAGTGGGCCATCATAAGCTGTATACACAGCCGGTTCATTTTCGAGTCAGGTGGTCGTTTAGTCGCACACTTCCTCGTGCTGTGGCTGGCTGGCGCTAACTTTGACGTTACAGGGACTGCGACCGATCAACGCCTCGCGGTGTCGTCCCAGAGCGCCTAGTGCTCATCTGGGCGCTATGGATCGATGGTTGGAGGGTCGGAAATACTTTCCGCGGACCTGGAGATCTTCCCTGCGCAGTTAGCTCGGCCAAAGATCAAGCTTTGGGAATAGATATACGACGCGAGAGAACAGTGGTGCAAGATATGAAAACCTCAGCTCCTTGGCAGAAGATTCGACACATTCCATGTGCCAGTGATTATCAGGTGCAGTCCCATGTGGCGCTCATCGCGACGGGGCCGGACATGATAGAACAACTACACGCGTTGTTCACGTGTGCGGTATGTGCTAATTTCATGCTAAGTTTAGGTTGCTCAGACTCGTGTTCAAGGCCAGGCAAACCGTGAACTTAAAATCATCAACCTATTGATTCACCATCTACACACGACTGCACAACGCCGGCAAGCCGAAATAGCCCGGTGAGCGAAGGCATAGATTAGAACTGAGCAATGCTGCCTTGCTCGAACGCATGACTAGATTGGTGACCATCGATGTAAACGAGCGCGAGAGCAAAATGGTATCAAATGGTCCGATTTATTTCCCATTTTTTATTGATTTAACTTCTTCATTATCCCCTGTCAACACGTGATGTTCCCTCAACCGAGAATCTGAAGAATTCAACCCGGCAAGGGATTTGACAATTCACAGATAGGAAGGAGACCTGGAAATTCCTCTATTAGCAAAATGCCATGCCACCGTAGCCAGGCTTCTCGTCGCACGGTGCACATCGCCTCATCCCACAAACGGAACAGTCGTTGATGCAATCATATTGCTCATTAATCTACCTCTGAAAAGATTTTCTAATCCCTACTCCCTCTTTCCATCAGCGGTGCGTCGGAAACCAGTTTTTGGCACTTGAGCAGCCGCGTGTGCACACCCCAGGGACCTCCAATTATTACGTAAAATGGCTTCGAGGCCCCCTCCGAGTATATACAGGATTTGTAGGACTGGGATTGGTATTTTGATCCAGTAGGACTCGCGCGAGTCCTATTCTGCAATCAAGTCCTACCCGAGCCAGTCCCACTTCATCAAGGAACACATGATCATCGCAGATGATCTCAATCTTGGGTAACACTCAGAGCAAATCGGGCTGTCCCTGACATATTATACACATCAAGAAAGTCGCCACTTCAGAGTGATCTGAGTCAGAATTTGATACTCGTAACTACATGGAGCAAGACACAATGGTTGTAAACTCTACAGCATCACCTCCTACTTTCGCTGACGTTTAGCAGCTTTGCCCAGGTCAGTACCAATGTCGTGATCGCGCCCACGATCCCGGGTTCGGCAAACACGCCTTGTTGTAATGATATTCTGGGCGGTAACATTGCCCAGATCCAAAGTTGTCTCGACAGGACCGTGAGAAAGAACGTCGGATGCAGATGGCAGAGGAGTAGGCGGTGGAGACGAAGCCGGGGGTTGTGGCAATTGAATGTCAAGATGAGATGTGTATACCTTTGGTACGTCCTCGCGGTCCTGATCAACTTCCATATCCAGTCGATACTGTTCAAAAGTATCAATAAACCTGTAATCTTCCGCTGTCATCTCATAATTAGCGAAGTCGAAGTTGAAGTTTGGGTCCCAGCCTTCTGAGAGCGAAAACTCGGCTTCCGTTTGGGAAAATCAGCGTCCACGAGCTGTGTTGGAAACGAGAACTGACGATTTGGAGTCTGGGGGGGAGCGGGGCTGTACGCAAAAGGAGCACCAACGTCTGGAGGCACCTTGGACACCCCATAATTGTACCTCGAGAGGTACCTTTTTGAGGCCCAAAAAAGGTACCTCAGTGGTAGTGGGCAGCCGGGCGCCCCCCAATGCTCTGGGGGGCCCCAGCTACATTTTTGTGGGCGTCCAGCGGGCGTCCCTGGGCGGGCATGTGGGCGGGCCCATGGCTCCTGGGGTCCTTGTAGCGCGCGCAGCGCCAGAAAAATTTCCGTTTTTTGACCTATTTGGGAAGTTAAAGTCAAGCATATATTTTCAATCTATTCAATAATACAGGCGTACAATGTACATAGGAGCTAAATTTATCCTTTGCAGTCTAATCAATAATACGGGTGAGTGTATGCAATAATATTGATTTGACGCACGCAAAAATCCTTATTGCTTTTGTCATGGATATATAAAATCACCATTTTGTAGGCTTATGACTTAAAATCACTATCTTGTAGGCTTATGACTTGGATCACGTGCAACATTTTTCTCATACCTCTTTTGAACCTAGATTGATTTATTCTCAGTGACCGCGGCGATTGCCGGCGCGGGACCACTCCATGTGACTTTATGACGCCTAGGAAACTATGTATGGGGCCGCCCACTGATGTGTGGGGCCGCCCACTGATGTGTGGGGCCGCCCACTGATGTATGGGGCCACCCGCCAATTGCCAAGAGAAAAGTGGGCCCGCCCGCAGAATTGTGGGACCGTCCGCCAATTGCCAAGAGAAAAATGGGCCTGCCCGCAGAATTGTGGGACCGCCCGCCAATTGCCAAGAGAAAAATGAGCACGCCCATGGACGCTTAAACATCTGCCAAAAAATGACACAGATCCAGATATTCACTATCAAGGACTCATCACGTACAGGATTTGAGACAATTCTTTTTGAAAAAAGTTTACAAAATTAACCTCTGCTCTGCCATGCAGGAAACAAAAACATTGCACAAGGTAAAGCTATGCGTAACAGAGTCATTAGGTCAAGAACTACAGTGTAGTAAATGTAAAACAAAGATAATTGTCCAGACAACGAGTGAGAGGAATATCGATCACAGTACTGTGCCGTAGCATCCGGTGTCAAGCAACTCCTTGTATAGTGTCTCGTGTAAGCCTCTGTGCCAGTCGGCAACAACCGGAAGGAGGCGGAGGTCTACGCTTTTCCACTGACCGTCCTGATCTATTTGCAATCCCCGACTGATGTAGTCCTCTACGATCATTGCGTCCCCTACACTCCGTCTGCGGAATTGTGTAACAAAGAACGTTTTGGATGACTGGTGTCCAAAGACGTAACAACAAATGTGCTCGCCCTCTCTGGGATCCTTCTCCAGCTGCTGCATCAGCAACTCCCTGTTGATCCGCTGACGTTTGCGCGGGGGCTCACTGCCATCCACGTCACTGTTGTTGAGATTATCAGCTAAGCTCAACGCCCGCAAATGTGAGAACTGGTCTGGAGTGGGTGAGCGAGCTGCCATTGGTCGCTTGCCCCCTCTCTTCTCGTTGGCGTCATTGATCTCCTTTTTGTAAGACGTGCAGTCCCGGACCCAGGCAATCTCGTTGTTATCCCCCAAACGCGTGGCCAACACAATGTTGGCCACCTCGTCTGGATTGTCTGCAGCCTCTTTCTCTTCTACATCAGGTATGAGTGGGCTGTTGACGAGCTGTTCTGTAGAACTGACCGTCCGTCCACTTCACGAAGTGGGGCGCTGTGCACGCAAGTCTCTCTTTGGCAGTCTTTTCTGCGATTGACTGCACATCATCCTCTTGTAAGATTTGTAGTCATCCGGTTTTGCACGCAACTCCATGCCGGGAAGCACCCGTTGTACCAAGTCCGCAGAGGGTTTCCAATTTGGCTGCGGCAGCTTGAAGCCATCCGGCCAATTGATAAGCCTCAGTTGATGGCGCCGGCAGAGGTTCAGGATATCCCAGCTCATCTTCTTCAGCTGGAACCCTCCCGAACGTTCTAGTTAACATCCATCAGAAGGCTCAAATACATCAAGAAACTGTACTTGCCCATAGCCATACGCAAAAGGTCTTGCACGCGAGCTCGTTCCATGCTTCGCTTATCTGCATACTGCTTGCCAGTTGCACCCACCATCCCTCGCTCCGATTGATTGCGCATGATAGGAGCTCCTGAGTTCTTAGCCGTTGACGCCTGGGCAGTTGAAGCTATGGTCGTCTGCTCGGCCATTGGCACGTCTAGTGCACATTCATCCATGTCCAGCTTTCTGCAAACCAGTTAGTATCACAGCAAAAGTGTCTGACCGATGCTTACCGCAGCATAGTCTCGTAGTCTCGCAATTGACAATCCACAGCCACTGGAAACGTCTTCATCAGTTGCAGGTACTCGGGTGATCCCCCCCATGCGCAACTGTGCTGCCCGTCTTCATCAATGATCACTCCAAAGGCATGCACGTTGAGTTGTCGATATGCTTTTGCTGACTGTGAACAGTTTAATACACTTATCTAGGAAAGAATCTGCATAAGGTTCTTGGCCACATCCGCCACTAAAGCGGGAAACTTTCCACTTCTTCTCGCATCGATTATCTTTTCCTCCGTGTGGATTGCATACCAATCAAGGACATCACTGAAATGCTTGTTGAGCACGTCGACATTGCTTTGCTGTTCCTGGCCCAACTGGGCCAAACGATCCTCGTACGCTTTGCTGACCTGCCTGTTCCAGACGCTGACGTGCACTGTCAGATTGGTGAGTCACAAGCGTTCACTGGTGGTAAGTAATCACTCACTATCGGCGGGCTTTTTACCTTTGTGTTGAGCCGAGTACCAGGTCTGGAACTTGTTCCACATGTGTTCCTTGGGACTTCGAGAATCCTCGTCGCTGCTCACGTTCTCCATCACTCTTTCCACCAGTACGTTGTACTTTTCCGATATCTTTTCTAGCTGCTTTTGCACTTCCAAAATTTCCACGTAATAGGCTTTCGGTGGAC